ACCGTAAAATAGTGATTTTTTTTTTTTTTTTTGATAGCGCGGGAATCAAATTCACTCGAAATTCTCCGGGAAAATCGCCGGTTAGACGATAAACGAACCAATCCAGTATGCGCGTGTATAGTGTACATTATTATATCGGCGTTCGATCCGATTTTGCCGACGAGATTGTTCTACAATAACATACAGTACGAGTATTACATACGAAGACGGAGGGAATAGAAAAAAAAAAACCGATGATAACAAGAACCGTAATAGCGTAATGTACCGCGGCGTTTTTAGACTATAATGCGCGCAGCGAAAAATCTCGGGCGGTATAGTTTTACAAAGACTTTATTTTTTTCATTCTTTGGTTAGTAAAGACGCTCCGATTTTTTCACGCCGAATATTCGCCCGACGATAAGTAGGTACATTGAGGAAATTACCAAAAAAAAACAAAAAAAACACTATCGAATATATTTCATCGGACGACTCGATAAAATAGGTATATGCAATGAAACACCTACGGACGTATGGCACGTTTAGACCGGAGGAGCAGAGAAGCGTAATATCTACGAGAATATCGGAGCAGCGTACGCATCTATTTTAGACTCTGAGTGTAGCGAGAAGCTTATGGTTTTACAGTGATGTTAATATTTTATTTTTGTCTGCGAAACAGTTTTTCTACGATATTGCTTTGATTTACAAGTGTAACACTTTTCCTAAAAGAAAATCTGACTTGGGATGTACTTTTTGAGAGTTTTCTCAATAGATGAGAAAAAGCGGAGGGAAAATACGGGCAAACCGGAAGAACGGGAAAACAGGTACAATATTAAACAAATATTATTAAAGAAAATAATAAATAATGCCTCATTAATAAATAATCATTTTATCATACTATATGACGTATACATTTTTGATAAAGCAACGCGATCAATTGAACACCGTTCAGAATCGTTTTTTTCGATGGCAATGATTTATCGTTGCTTGCAGATATACGTGAAATTACCTCTCATGATACTACCTTCCCTACTTCTCACTTACAACAGTAGTGCACCCTCGTGCGAAGCATGTCTGTCTTTTTATATGATAAATTCTCTTCCTTATTTATACTCCGCTAGTCTAAACTTTAAACTAAACATCTTAGTGAAATCAATAGCTACCTCGCTACGCTTGGAATCTAAAACAGAAATGTAAATTTGATTCAATATCCTTCGATAAAATAGCTTATTCGTTTACGAACAAATTCACCGTGTACTCTACTGGAAACTAGTTTTATAAACTTTGTTTCCCTCTGTATAATATCATATGATACATTGTAAATTTTAGTTTATATTCTGCTCGGTAAACTAATATTAAATGATTTTTATTAAAGCTAAACAAAACCATATTCCGGAGTAACATTATTGATTCGCGTCAACATCGCTGTTCACATCTAAACAAAACGGTTTGGATAATAAACCAAACTATTTTCTACTCGCTGCGGTAGTTGTCGAGTCCAAAACGTAGCTAGACGAGCCACAAGTTTAAACTATGGTCAGTAGATCCGAAACACAAAATTTTGATTTTTCGTCATTTTTCGATGTGTACTACACACGTCTGTATTTTACGGTTTTTCATTGCATTATCGTCGAATACCCGCGCGTTTCAAACACGCGTTTGTTTTTTTGCTATTGCTCGACGGTTCCACACACATATACCTACGGTTCGTGAGGGATTCGTTTTCATACATTATCCAATAATTTCTGTGTAAAGACAATTCGGTCGGGACTACTACTTGTTGACTTGCTGTAATCAATTTTTGTTTCGCGTATTTTTGCGAACTGTAATGATATTCGGCGCGTGAACTCATGCATATGCCGTACGTGCTTTTAGTGCATATAATTTCAGACCCTAAGTGTGAGTGTGCCGTTCGTGTTTACTGCCGCGATTGCCGACGAAATAATTTTATTGACGGCGGTGCATGGCGCGCTGGTCTGCGCGTTTGGTGTTCGGTCGGCGGGGCCGGTCAGTTGGTGTGATTTGACGTATGCGCTTTAGAGTGGGGACGCTGCAAATGCGCGTACTCCCCCCTCCCCTGTATTGAAGCAGTTTGGCCGCCGCCGAAGTCGCGTGATTTCGCCGGTAAGTTAACGTCGCAACGGCTCACGGGCGGATTACGGTGTGATGGAACAAAAACCATCAAAAAACACTCCTTGTAATAAAAAAAAAAAAATAATAATAAGGACCGCGGGAAACGTTATTTCCGACGGGACGGCGCCAGTGTTGGAGCGTTTTGTTACATTTCTTTTCGTATATATGCGTACAATTACGTGAACGTGTAGAGGTGGCGGATCCGGACCCTCTGATAGCGCGGAGAAAACTCTTTTTTTTCTTTTTTTTTTTTTTACACCTTTCTTATTATAAACACTTTCAAAACGGATACTGTTTTTACCGAATAATATTGTCCGCACGCGGGCATTTAACTTGATGCGCCGAGATAATATCGTAATATTATTATTGTTATTATTATTATAATAGCTATGACGACAGGGCGTGCGTGATTAATGCGACGGCGATCGAATAATTCTATGTAACCTCTACGTTTTGGAGAAGTTTTTTTAACTGAGAAACGATTGATTTTTTTTTTACCACTACAGGTTCAACTATGACTGGGAAAAAAGTGACTTAACATATTTTTCAGTTAAATAAACAAATTTGTAGTGGACAAAACTAAACTGCCTATTAACACAACTTATTGGTTTTAACTAAAAACATGGTAAAGTAAACCGTATATGAATAACAATATATTGTTAAAATGTCTATTTTCACATTTGAATAAACAATGACATTGATGTTTACTTTTTTTTTAAATTTTTTTTTTTTCATCTGTAAACTTTTCCACCAGAAATCTTCCTCCGATTTTCAAGTGTAATACGTTTCCTGAAAAGTAATTTTATTTAGGCAGTACTATGAAAGAGTCGATTTTTTGATTTTATAAAGGGTTTAAAAAAAATTTGAAAAAAAACATAGGCAAATTTACGAAATGTATTATTTTCAATATTTTTATGATTCAGTTTTTTAACTCGTAAATACTAGAAATTAGGTCAGAAAATTTATATTTGCTTTTCTAGACATGGCCAAATTTTCAAAACATTTTGGCCATTTAGAGCTAGTTATAGAGATTTTAATTTTGTTAATTTTTATTCGGTCGGTTCTGTGAATAAAATTGCAAGACCACATAGAATTACTTAAAATTTTTACAAAATGTCCATTATAAGTCGTAATTTGTAGAAAACAAAAAATTGATAGTAAAATAACATTTTTTTTTTTTTGTACGAATTTTAATATCAAATTTAGACGAAAATCTTAAAAAATTGTCGGCCTTTCAAAATATATACGACACTATAACCGAACTTTACTTAGAATCGTCCTTCGTTAGCAATTAATCATTGCGTACACATTTCCAAGCAATTCTGTTAGTCGAACAACTTTATCCGTGTAGCACTTATACCAAATGCCAATGACGCTAAAATGTTTACATGTATAAGTAATGTAACATATCATGAGATACTAAAAACAGATTTATTTAACTTTCAAAATTGGGGGGGGGGGAAAGAAAAAGAATAAATATCAATGTATTACTTTTTCTAAAAAACGTAATTTCATTTTCAAAGACTACATCATATCCAACCAAAATTTATTCCGCCCTACCCAAATGATGAAAGATCTCGGAGCGACTTTTGGTTCCAAACTACTATTTTAATAACAAAAAAAAAAAAAAAAAAAGCTTAGTAGACAGAATCAACCGAAATTGTTCCGGCTTCAATAATTGATCCATTTACAATTAAAATGTCTTGATATCTCCATTGTTCGTTTTATATATTCCAATCACACAGGAAAACTAGAACGTCGGCCATTGTGAACAAATAGAAGAAATGCAAACGCTCCATTTCGCCCGTTTCAAAAACATTCCGAACATGCCCGCTCACTCTGAATGTAAAGGCGTTCTAAACCCGTTTAAATGTAAAACCTTTAATAGACAAAAGAAATAATTTATAGTTAACTTTCTTCTTCAAACCGCTTAATAATAAAACAGACGATTCCTCCCTCCTTAACAATACACATTGCCTTTAAAATAAATAATCATAATGACATTCGAAACAAACGATAATTGTATGTACAAAAAGCGTTCCCGAGACTATATTACGTATTGTACGCCTGTGGGCATGTCGTCATCTACAAGTAGCACAATGAGTCGTTTTGACTCCTGTATTCTTCTTTCTCTAGAACTTTTCGACTTTCTATTTAATTGTGCGCAAAACACGTTACGAATTTTTATCGTGTGTCGTTATTGTATCAATGTTGATTTCAACTGTTATCGCATACGTAAATTGGACTCAAATGAAATAAAAACGAAAAAAAAAAAAACCTCGACATTTTCCAATGCGTATAAATGAATCAAAGATCGTCAAAATATGTTTAGAAATTGTACCACATCTGGAAATAGTTCATAAAAGTATTCTGCGAATATTTCAGATCTCCATGGCCGCGATTGATTTTAAACGAATAGAAATAAAATAGAAAATAACGGGAACCGTTATTGCGTAAGTATTCTCGTTATTGTCAACGTGTTTTCCCAATTAGAAAACCGATAGACAAAAAAAAATTTAAAAAAAATACCTCCTCAATGCACCGACTGGACACGATTCTACCAGAAATCACTGTCGAAATTAACGATTGGAGCGAAATTGCTGGAAAAAAGTTATTGACAAATAGAAAGATGAAATAGTACACCTCGTGGAAAACCAATTCGTTCAAACGTTCAGAATCTAAAAAACGAAAAAAATGTATACGGCCCGTATACACGGGAAAAAACCGTTGGCACTACGCGGTTACCGCGAGCAACGGAACGGAATTATTTTATTTAACCCGACCCGCCGGCCGACCGAACGACGACATTTTCAATTAAAAAATTCCAAACAAAATTCGTATGTTTTAACTAGGGCGCCGGCGAACTATTATTACACCCCACCGCCGGCACCATGATGTTCGACGAGGACTGCGAGCCGGGCACGTTTCTGATGCCGCTGAAGAAGAAGAAAACGGCCCGCGAACGGAACAAACAGTGTTTGACGTGGGCGTACGACGACAACCAGAAGTGCCAGGAGATGAAGAGGACCGAATGCGACAGAGACGACGCGGACGATGTCGACGAGCGCGCGGACCCGCCGCCGGCGCGCGACGAGGCCGAGCCGCAACACGGCCGCGCCAAGTTCAAAAACTCGGTCGAATGGAAATGGACCAAATGCACGTGCGCCGGCCTGTTCCGGATCATGGGCGAGTATTACGACGAAATGTGGTTCGCGACCGCCATCAAAGAGTGGTGTCTGCTGTACTACCGGTGCAACCACACGGCCGACTACTGGCAGTACAAGGACGAGTGGATATCCGGCGACGAGGAGGTCCGGATGGCCGTCTGGAACGAGATCCTAAAGCAACGGGACCGAGCCGATCGCCGCCGCGAGGAATGCCAGAAACTGAAGGGCCAGGAGTTTGCCGAGGGCAAATCCGCGGACCCCGACGCCAGACGCATAATGGAAATGTACGGGGTGGACACGGAAGAGGACGCATACAGGGTATAACCCACTCAGCTCAGCGCTCCCAACGGACGAAGCGGGGTTACCCGAGTGCGTAGCGAAATCGCCCATTATCAATATCCCGAGTGCGTCCGGAATCGGGTACACTTCCTGAGTGTGGCCTGATAAAAAACAAAAAAAAAAATCATATTTTCGACGTAGCCCGAATGCGCTTAGACTTACGAGTGGCGCGCCGCGAGGAGGTGTACTGGCTTGCGCTCCGAAAATATTTTATTATTTTTTTTTATCTGTTTGTTGACTTGCGCCCGTTATGGGGTTGGTTGAGTGTTAAACAATGTATTTGTTTTCTATTTTTTTTAACGCACGAGAAAAAATGTTAAAAGCGTTGTCTGTACTTTGTACACTAAAAGCTGCTGTTTACATGCAATTTACTCTTTAGACTGCTCATATCATTTTCATATCGGGTGCGTGAAAACAACAGAAAACGTTTGTCGGCACCGGGATACGGAGAAAATTACTGCGCTGCGCTCGGTTTCTACACGACTGCTGGCCGCAGTATTGCTTAGTTTTATTATCGAAGCTGAAATAAAACGATATTTCCCAACCGATTGGTTTATCAATCATCGAGTTTATCGGTTTATCGGTTGTCAAATAGGTATAAATAGGCCGTGGACCGATAACGCTGCGGACGCGCTCGGGCTACGAAAAACGTGTGAATTAAAACGGGAATCGCTCGGCAGATTACCCCCGGACAAAGTCTTAAACGTACCTGTCATTCCCCGCTCGTCCGTGTCGTTAGATTCATTCTCGTATTGTAGCCCGATGTCGAAATCCCCGGTTTTTGTACGTACCGTTTCGTAGGTACCTAGTAAAATTAAAATCGCAGACCGAACTGAAAAGTCCGTACGATCGGTTATTTTAAAAACGAATTGCAAACCGCACGAAAACCCTCGGGGATATCTCAAGCGCGTCCCGTTTTCACAACCCGAGTGCATCCGCAGTCCTGTCGATAAATTAAATCTGAGTTTGTCCTCAGTTACGATTGCGGACGAACTCGGATGAATCATCCGCAACTGTAGGTACCCGTTTTATATTTAAGATTTCAATTTAAAATAGTGGGGGAATCGTAATTTTTCCAGTCTTCTATAGAACGGAATAACGAAAAGTAGCGCCGTAATTTTTGTCTTATCAAAATCTATGAAATCGCAAAAATATATTGACTTATATTGTACAAAAATCAATTACCCGGCTACAATTTTCGAATACAGTTTGTACTTATGACTACGAAAAAAAATAATTGACGAGTTACAAAAAACCCCTTTGAAAAAAATCGCGTAACATATATTAACATATAATTACGTGTATAAAAAAAAAAAACTAATTTTTACCACGCCGATGATTAAAATCATTATCAGTCCTAAGCCTGTAAGTGACAGGGGAAATTGGTGTTTCTAAACGTGTTAGCGTCTTCGAACGCATGATATTTTCGTTAAAATATCTCGTTTGAACCCAAGTGCGGCTGGACCGTTACCTTTTTTTTACCGCGAGTGCAATTCGACCATACCTCTCGGGCGACCTCTTTTTCCAGACGCACTTGGGAGATCGGAAAAATATAGGTAAGGTGAAAAACGGTCAAAGAGGACGCACTCGGGTAACCCCGAAAAAACACGAGCGCGTGTATTTGATGATGTTCGGCGGTCCCGGCGCATCGTTCGGCATATTATTCCGCGTACGATTGCAGGTGAGGGAAATGCACGGGGCCGTGGACGAGGCCAGCGAACTGGTAGTGCTGAAGAGGATGGACGTGCGCGACGAGAATCGCTCCCCCGAGATCGCTCCACGGGATGTGGCGAACGCGAAAACTGTAGAATCCGAGTTGTTGCTGGCCAACCCGGAGACCGACCCGGACTGGGTGGAAATGCGGCGCAGAATGCGCGGCTCGTTCGCCGCGCTCAACATGTGCCGGTGTGACGTCAGCTTCGAACTGCTGAACCACATCATGATCGAGCTGTGCAAGTACTGGGCGAACCTGCCGAACATCGAACACAAGATCGATCCGATCATGGAGCGAAACATCACGCGCGAAATCCAAAACTTCCGGTTCAAATTGTTTGACATGACGCCCGAGGAGTGTGAGGAACTAAAAATAACGGAGCCGCAAAGCTCGGAAAGAACGCAGCCGTCATTTCAGGAAAGAACGCAGCCGCAAAGCTCGGAAAGAACGCAGCCGTCGTTTCAGGACAGAACGCAGCCGCAAAGCTCGGAAAGAACGCAGCCGCCGTTTCAGGAAAGAACGCAGCCGCCGTTTCAGGAAAGAACGCAACCGCCGTGTCGGGAAGAAACGGATCCGTCGTGTCAGACAGAAACGGATCCACCGCGCCGCGAAGAACCGCGGCCGCCGTTTCAGGAAAACGATGTGGACCCTTACCTTTTGCCCCCGACCAACAATGAGTCCGACAATTACTGCGGGTACGTTGAGCCGCAGTACGCGACGCAGGACTTTGATCTCGACGAATCCACGCCCAAGCGCGGTCGGAATCGCAACCGCGTCTAGTCGTCGGAAAGGGGATTGTAGCCCATCCGGAATCGGGGCGGTCAAGCCGGAAACGTTACCGGGTAGAAGACACCCAACGATTGTATTTTGTATACATCGTGTACACGGTGCGACACAGTAACGAAATATTAATAGTCTCTCGCCGGGCATTTTATTCGTTTCGTTCGAATGTCCGTCCCGTTGTTCCGAGAAAAAAAAAAAACAAAAACAAAAACAAACAGTGTTCTCGACAGCTATTTAATGTTGTGCGGGCGGGTACTTATTTCCCGTTTCTTCAAAAGTAGGCAACAAGAAAATATGTGAATATTTCAAAAAAAAAAAAACAAACTTCTCACGTAATCCCAAACGAAAAATTGTTTTTTTTTTTTTTTATGGTAAAATGTACGGTTTATCACTCTTTCTGTACAGTCGCGGGCCAAGTACAGGGCTCCGAGTTGGTACCTAAATGGTGCCCCTAAACTAATAAAAAATAACCCCTACTTCTTAGATTATAGACACCCCTTCATCCATTTATTTACTAATGCTGTGCGTCTACATGGATTAAAAGTATTTCAAAGTCGACCTAAAAAAAATTACTCCACTTTACTCAAATCAAACCCATCACTCCTTTTCACTTTATCCAACCACCACGCGTGATTCTATGTTTCACGAAACTCTGTACCAAATCGTTTGTACTTGAAACTCTCAACGTCGCCTATAGCCATTTACCGTGCCGTTAGCTTTATTCTCCTGTCCCTCCGAACTTGCACTCCGTTTTACTTCTACTCATCTACAGTGCCTTTCCTTCAAACGCTAATCTCTATTCCTCGAGTCGATCGAAAATGTATTTCATGTTTTCTCTTGCCGAAGCTACGTCACCCGCGAAACGTCGTGCACCGTCACGATAACTGTCTCTCGCCTGTTGTCCCCGCGCACATCCGAGACGAGACGGTCTGCCGACATTTTCTTCAGAGCTCTTCATAGTGTTTGACAGAATTTTACACCGGCTGTCGAACTGACGCGACCGTATTCGCGACAAGTAGAAGTACCGTAGACGTATTCTGGTCCTATCCCACAGGGAGTGTGTTGAAAATATTATAAATACGTAGTAATATTAACACGTTACCAATATAATTGTTAAGTTTTTAAGCCCGTTTACTTTTACGAATGATATTCGGGTGATTCCGCGCTATTTTTTTTTTTTTGATTTTGTAACGTACAACTAATTTACAAAAACAAACATTATTTAATATTTTTTGTTGGTCGTTTTTTTTTTTTTATTAACAACCAAATAGAATTTTTTTTTTTTTCCAGACGGTAAATTAAGTTCGTAGACAGGAATTATATCTATCCAAAAATCAATAGTTTCGCTCCGACTTATATTGATAACAATGTTTCTAAATGGAAATTTCGCTAGACAGGTACTCTATAGAGGCGAGTTTTCTCGGGAGTTTACTCGGCAAATGCGAAAAACCGGGAAAAATCGGGAAAATCGGTACAACATTAAACGAATATTGTTAACGAAAATTGCCAAAGCCTCTATATATTTAATTGTTTTCAAATAAAATTGCACGAAGCGTCGCCGTCGACTGAACTCCGGACAGAATCGTTTTCCCGTAAGCGGCGGTCCAATCGTTGTCTACGGGTTTACAATTGAATCGTTTATAACCGTGGCCGTACCCGTCCCCGTTGTCCCGCGACTGCGTTTCTTCGGTAATGTAAAGCGGTAACGACGACGTCGGATTTACAGAGGAACCGAGCCGCTCGGACCGGCGCGCGACAATACGCGTTTTGTAGCGGTACGACGACCGCTGCAGCATCCTCGCGTGTCGCGCGGATGCAATGATATTGTTCGCGTTCGACGGACCGTCCGGTCCAGATTTTTCGAACGTCGCGCGGACAGCCGTCGTTCGGTTAGGCTCGGGTTTTTTTTTTTTTTACTCGTTCCGCGCGGGGCGTAAGCGCCGCCGTTTAAGGGCACGTCAAGAGGACGTCGTGTACCCGCGTTTACCGGTTCCGTCCGACTACCGGATAACGCGCGAAAACAATGCGGAACGAGCGACGGCCAACCTCGGAATGCCGCGGAAAACGATAACTCGGAGGGAACGTCCCGCGGGCGTGTTGCCCGAGTATTTCGGACCGTTCGCAAAAGTTACAGCTGCTCGAAAAACACAAAAGTTTTCGTGTCTTTACCACCGGCCCGTCGGTTTCGAGCGAAACAGAAAAACCGTCGAGGATGTTCCCTTCCGGGACGTTCGTTCTCTGTCTGTGAGTTTCGCGACGGGCGCCGCGTCCGCTCTAAACCCGTAATCAGGGCTCGAGAGCGTTACTCGTTCCCGGCGCGGTCGGACGGTGGCGGACCGTGGGTCATAACGTCCGCCGGAGAGAAATCGCGTATTAGTTTATACGCGGCCGGCGGTCTTTCGGTGCGTCGGTAGTTTTTAGATTTTTTTTTTTTCCCCCCTCGTTTTCGCGTTCCGCGGAATATCTAATAACAATAATAATGTCGTCGTATTTATCGTCGCGCGTCTCGGTTGCGACAGGAGAGCCGAGGAACGCGCGCGCGCCGCCGCCGCCGCTCTCGCGCATAACGGTACAATTTGTAATATCATACCGGGCGACACTCGCACGCACGCACGCACGCGCGACCGCCTCCGCCGGCCGTTAATTACTACGGCGGCCAGGTAGGCGGCGGAAGGCCGCGTGCATCACGGGGTATTATTATTACTGTTGTTGTTGTTATTATATACGTCGTCGCGGCCGTCGCCGCCGCCGGGTAACGATACATTATCCGGGTAATAGTAATAATTATTGCGGCGGCGGAGGCGGCGGACCGTGCGTTACCCGACCGGCCGCGCTTGTCGGCAATGTACGATTTTTATTTCGCGCAACGTGACCGTTTGCCCGGCCCCCATCCCTCCTGTTCTACGGCCTACGAACTGGTAAACATAACGACCGCGTTAAAACGCGAAACAATCCTTCCCCGACTCTCCCGTTTTCACGTTCGTCCCGAACCGTAATGTCCCGCAGCACTCGATCCGTCGTTATCCGTCCGTGTACACTATTCGTAATACACCCGTGATAAGTATACTCGTATACTCAGCCCGTGTTTTTTTTTTTTTTTTTTTACTCTACTAAAATAAATTCTAAAAATTATCATACTAAAACCCGAAAAAGAAAATTTTAGACGTTCGGGGTTGAGACCCTAAAACCCTAACCGCGCGTACGCCACTGTTCGGAGTGTCCACCGATCCGTAGAAACGTATCGGTCTCGCCGTACTTAACAAATTACTGTGCGCGCGTTTTTCAACGTCGAAAAACGCTTTTTTATCCCATTATATTTTCCGAATTGCTTCACCCCCCACCCCCCCGCAACGACGTGCCTTGTCAAATTACGCGGATTTTTCAACCCCCGTTTACTCGAACGATTTTTCGAAATTCCCAATATTTTTTCTAACCGAAATTGCGTTAGCGGTCGGATTATGATATATGCTCCTTAAACTTTTTCACGCGACGCCTCAAAAAAAAAAAAAGCAGAATTTCTGGCAGCGGGTACCGTTTGTTATTATGATATTCGTCGAAATTTTCATCAGTTCCGCTCCCTGAGTACAATTTCTTTTCGGAAAACACTTTTTTAACGGATTGTAAAAAGACACGACGTTGTTCGCATAGTGTATATACCTTAAAAGAGGCGGATTTTTCGCTCGGTTTATGTATAAAAAAAAACGGCTAGATTTCGCCAACAGTTTTTCTACGAAATTTAAAAAACGAACGACAAATGTTGATTCACCGCGATCGGCTTCGTTTTTGTTGATTTCCGAGTCACGGGGTCGAAAAACGCGTCTACAATTCTACTCCACTCGGAATCGATATTTTGGTTTTTCATTCGAAACGACTGAATCGCCTTTTATCCTATACGCCTTCGCGACCTTCACTACCTATACAACAGTCGTCTGCCCATAGTGCGACATGTGCCACACTATAGATTTTTGGCCAACATGAATGTTAACGAGCCACACTCGATATTGTATTGAGTCAAATAGTTTATAAATATATTTTATATTTGTACATAATTGGATCTAATCTGTACTTTTATAATTTGAAAAGTAATAAAGATTGCTGACAAACGATAGACATAACAGATTATACGTATAAATTCGATATTATTTTGTTTCGATTAGATTACGAATTATCCAATGATTATTTCTATTTTAGATTCTGAGTAGAGCGAAGAAACTTATGGTTTTACAAAGATGTTTATTATTTTTATTTTTGTGGACAACTTTTTTACCAAATTTTAATGACAGCTATGTTTCTGAAAGGAAATTTCACTGGGGAAGTACTTTAAAGTCGGAAAATCGGGAAAATCGGTACAACATTAAACAAATATTATTAAAGAAACTATATTGAGCCTATTTTATTATTTTACTATAATATGGCATGTGTATTGTTGACTAAGCATCACTATTAACTGAACTCCGCTCGGTATCGTTTTTCGTAAACGATGGTTTTTATCGTTGCTTACAGGTATACATTACATTACCTAATAGGCAGTGGCCTATACCCGTCCCCATTATTCTAGGACGTCTTTTTTAATTAATAGTATTGAAAATGTATGTCCAAAAACAAATATAAGGTGGATCATGCAATAGAACTTTTATTAGAAGTTATTAGAAGACGAAGTCTCTGAAACAGTTTAAAAACAATAGCCTTCTTATATTAAAATTTTGAAAGTATTTTCTATTCTAAAATACCCAAATATTAAAAACTGCGCGGTAAAATTAATATCTGTTTTTGGAACGACACGTATCCCGTGAGAATCGCTTAATTCAACAATGAAAATAATCAAGTCGGTAAAAATTATCGTTAAAATTAAATTGACGATCATCTCGCAGAATAACTCGGAACTGCTCTAAAAAAAATCTAAAAAATCTAAAAAATACTGATTATACATAAGTCATTGCAATGTGTTCCTTAATGACGGACGAATCCGGACTTCTTAAGTAGTTTTTAAAACAAAA